GTGGTATTTGTATTTTGATTGCATGCTTAGTTTCTTAGTAAGTTAGTGCTAATTTTCCTCGAAAGTTAGTCTAATATATATCTTTCTAGCATGTTCGCGTTTGGTTCGGCTACGCACCGCGCGTCATGCGGCAGCGCCCCTCGGTCGGTTGGGCGGAAGGAGGGCTGCGTTTTGCCTGGGATCCGCGCGTAACAGCCTTCTGCTGGTGTCACACGGGCCACTTGACGGTGCAGTAACTGCATCGCCTCTTGAAAGATGCAGTCATTGCATGTCAACGTCCAAGAATTAATAAATAAATAAATAAAATGTAGGGACATGGCGGTCTGGCAGACAGTTTCCTATCCTCGCCATTGTGGCAGCCTCTCTCGAGACTCTCCTATTCCGTGTACATCTGGCATATGTTCACTCTGGAAGTAAACAGCAGAATTCTACGGACCAATACATATTTTTCGAACTACAACTTTGTAAGTGTTGTTTTGGATAGTTGATAGAAACTAGTGGATTATAACAAATGTATAATATTTTATGCTTTGCAGATGCTTAATTGCTGGTCTGTCATTGGGATCACTATTTGGATGTCGTATGTACTTTATGTTATCATTGAGGCTCCTTTTGGCGGACTCGATAGTCCTCTACGAACCCAGCAGCCACGAGCTCCAAGCGAACAAAAGCAGTCGTCAGTAGATGTCCAGCAGGATCAGTTGAATGACGGAAGGAATCTGGATGAACCTGAAGAGCCTAAGAAAGAAGCCACAACGACTGTTTCAGAATAGTTAAATGTAAGATGCTAATAGTCGTTTTTTGTCTTTCCCATATTTAGATCCAGTATGGTTTTCTTGTATTCAATGACTTTTCGCCGACCAGACATGTTTATGTTTGCTATTAAGTTAAGACTTTGAAGCCACTTGAGATATTAGCTCTTACAAATAACTATTCGACAAGCGCTTTACTCATAAATTCAACTAATAAAAAATTGTACTCTTCCAAGTAATCTCTTCCATTGTCTATACTTATTGTATTCTTCGTTCTTGTACTATAATTATCATGTCAGAAAAAGATCGGCAAATAAAACCGAAAAGAAATTGGTTGATTATTTATGTACATAGAACATATTTTATACGTAATTATATGTAAGTGCCAGAGTTTGTATCGCAGTCGATGACTGCAGTAGGGATTTTCTCCCTGTTTTGTTATACCCGATACTCAAAATGAGTATTGGGGTATATTAGATTTGTGGTAAAAGTGGATGTGTGTAACGTCCAGAAGGAATCGTTTCCGACCCTATAAAGTATATATATTCTTGATCAGCATCAATAGCCGAGTCGATTGAGCCATGTCTGTCTGTCCGTCTGTCCGTCTGTCCGTCCCCTTCAGCGCCTAATGCTCAAAGACTATAAGAGCTAGAGCAACGATGTTTTGGATCCAGACTTCTGTGATATGTCACTGCTCCAAAAATATTTCAAAACTTTGCCCCGCCCACTTCCGCCCCCACAAAGGGCGAAAATCTGTGGCATCCACAATTTCGACCATACGAGAAAACTAAAAACGCAGAATCGTAGAAGATTACTATATCTTCTAGAGTGCAAAATCTGAACCAGATCGTATAATTATTACAGCCAGAATCACGAAAACAATTTCACTCTTTCTCGCTCTGTCTCACTCTAACACACAGGTTTCATGGTCGGTTTTGCCAATTGCAAAATATGAGTTCAAGGATCTCAGAACCCATAAGAGCCAGAGCAACCAAATTTGGTATCCACACTCCTGTGATATCGGACCTTGACCGTTTCGTGTCCAAATTTCGCCACACCCCCTTCCGCCCCCGCAAAGGACGAAAATCTGAGGCAACCACAAATCTCAGAGACTATTAAGGCTAGTGTAACCAAATTTGGTACACACACTCCTTTAAGATGTCACTATAAAACGTATATCTCAGAATTTCGCCCCACCCCCTTCCGCCCCCACAAAGGACGAAAATCTGTTGCATCCACAATATTGCAGATCTGAGAAAACTAAAAACGCAGAATCATAGAGTATGACCATATCTATCAGATTGCTGAGTCTGGATCAGATCAGATAATTTTTATAGCCAACAGGAACAAATCAATTTGCATTGGCTACGCAGCGCCCGACGTCACGCTCAGCCTGATATTCTGTCTCTCTCGCACGCACTCTTTGTCGTGTCGTGTAATATTAGCGGCGTCTGCCGGAGGAAAGCCATACTGACTAAGTATCGGGTATAACTGTAGAGTTGCGGTGTCCGCAGCAACTCACAACGTTCCCCCTCGTTTTTTTTTGCATCTCTGTTTGCAATTTTTATACCCGATACTCAAAATGAGTATTGGGGTATATTAGATTTGTGGTAAAAGTGGATGTGTGTAACTTCCAGAAGGAATCGTTTCCGACGCCATAATGTATATATATTCTTGATCAGCATCAATAGCCGAGTCGATTGAGCCCTGTCTGTCTGTCCGTCTGTCCGTCCGTAGCCATAGCCGGTCGAAAGGGCTGCACACGAGTATGTCCACTTCCGGGCCGAGTCTTATGCAATCGGTTCGGTAATCGGATCCCAAGAAGAGCCGGCGCCTCCCCTGGCCCCCTTCGCACAGGTAGTCTTGACCCTGTTTACATATCGGGGCTTGCTCGGGTTGCCCGTGTGGCAAGGGATTGAAATCGGAGGCGTACCCCAACCAGCGCCCAAGAGAGCCCAGAAAATGGATGCTTCTACGGATTCTGGATCAGGATGATGACGCTTTTGTTGTGTTGTTTTGATCACTGATCACTGAATCAACACGAGTACAGTGAAAATTTAATGACTCATTTGTTGCCGCTTCTGGTGGATTACGTGCCTCCGAAGTGCGTATGCGGGGGCCTGCAATTGGGGGCAACAAAGGCCCCACGGCTGCCACAATCGCTGCTGCAGCGGAAATGTTTTACTGCTGCTACATGCTCTCCTCCTCCGTTTATCATAGAATAAATTGCAGAACAAATATGCAGCGAAATAAAAATAATAATAATAAATGCAATCACGGGGATGAGGGATGAGCAAGTGGCCTCCCGTCCAAACGGAACGGACCGTAATATGCATAAACGATATATCTGATCGACTGGAAACTCTTGTGTTTGAATTTGACTTTGAATTTCGAATATTTCGGCATATATTTTCATTGCGGCAAAAAACGGAGAGACGATTCCGTGCATTGCGATTCTGGCATCAACGAAAATATATGCCCAAATGGAAGTTCAAACATCTCTGAGGGGAGGGGTGGAGTGTCGGGCGTGTGGACGTTTGTCTTCTGTCAGTGTGTGATTGAATACTGCTTGCTGCTTTCTGCTCGATGGCTGCCCCCTAGAGCACGAGGTGCAGGCGTATCTGGAACACCAGCTCCTTGACGGTCTTCTTCAGGAGCGCCGCCAGGGACAGGATGAATCCCAAATTCTGTGACACATACTATGGATTGCAATGTACTTCTTGGCTTGATGGGTACTAAAATGGGTACAAAATGCGCTGGATTTTCTGGCCTCGTGAGTGATGCTATAGCCAAACGTAATGGCTTGCATTACAGTTGCGAGGCATGCCGTGCGGTGGAGAAAGACATGGTATCTTTCATGAGGCAGACGCGGAGTGGCTTTAAGGAGCTGACCGTTGGTTTCAAAAACCAATACGATCGGCTCCTAGCCATGGAGGCTCAGTTTAGCGGTTTAAAACTGCTGAATGAGTCTCCGAGGCGCAAAAAGGTCACTCCGCGGGATCTGCAAGTGCCAACCGTCACTCAGCCGTGCGCCGCCGAAAAACTGACTCCGACCAATCCAAAGGCAACGACAGCTCCTGGCGATGCAGATTCGGTAGCCGAATTCATCACCTCTGAAAATGTGCAGCCAAGTACGTCTGCAGCGTCAGTGTCCGTGGTGTCCGCAAGTTCGCTAGTTATCCCGTCCATCCCGGTCCCACCAGTAAATAGACGTTCCGGACCTCCGGATATTGCCACCACAGGTACTAGACCTGTGGTGACTAAACCACTGGTGGGAGTCCCACCAAAACGACAAGTTTTTGTTTCACGGCTGGCCCCTGACCTCACATCTAATGATGTAATTGCTTTTATTCAAAGCAAAATAAAAGCCGTGGGTTTAAAGGTGGAGAAATTTAACTTCTCTTATGCCAGGGAGATAGCCTCGTTTAAGATAAGCATCTCCCCAACTCAATTTGACACCATTTGCTCCGCCAAATTTTGGCCGGAGCATTTGGTGGTGAAGGAGTTTAAGGTTAAGAAGAAGAATAGGCCCCCCATATCCCTTCCAAATCTTTCCAATCTGCCACCCTCAACCTCAACTTCCTCTTCCTCAACTTCCCGTCTGGCTTCCACCTTTCCAAAAAACTAACTTCTCTTTTAGTAACATATCAGAATGTAAGAGGCTTGCGTAGTAAGCTCAGCATTCTTCTCCGGGATAGTGTTGCATTTTCTTCCCACGTTATTGTGTTTACTGAAACCAGGTTAAAGCCGGACATTCTTAGTTCCGAGGTTTTGGCAGGTCGGTACACAACTTTTAGAAAGGACCGTTCGTCTCGACGTGTAGGAGGGGTTCTAATTGCTGCTACATGCTCTCCTCCTCCGTTTATCATAGAATAAATTGCAGAACAAATATGCAGCGAAATAAAAATAATAATAATAAATGCAATCACGGGGATGAGGGATGAGCAAGTGGCCTCCCGTCCAAACGGAACGGACCGTAATATGCATAAACGATATATCTGATCGACTGGAAACTCTTGTGTTTGAATTTGACTTTGAATTTCGAATATTTCGGCATATATTTTCATTGCGGCCAAAAACGGAGAGACGATTCCGTGCATTGCGATTCTGGCATCAACGAAAATATATGCCCAAATGGAAGTGCAAACATCTCTGAGGGGAGGGGTGGAGTGTCGGGCGTGTGGACGTTTGTCTTCTGTCAGTGTGTGATTGAATACTGCTTGCTGCTTTCTGCTCGATGGCTGCCCCCTAGAGCACGAGGTGCAGGCGTATCTGGAACACCAGCTCCTTGACGGTCTTCTTCAGGAGCGCCGCCAGGGACAGGATGAATCCCAGGAGGCTGAGGAAGAACAGCCAGGGCGTGGTCATGAGCACGCCCCGGGCATTGGCCATGCGCCACAGCAACTGGCGCTGGATGGTGCGCAGCTTGAACTTGCTGTTCCACAATCGGAGGCGCGTCGAGCCGACGGTTTCGTTGATGCCCACGGTGTTCTCGACCAGCCAGAACACCGCACAGCACAGCATCTGTAGCACCAGCAGCACGACCTTGACCACAGCGGACTCCAAGACGAGGTGGTACAAGGCCACCATGCGCTGACGGTACTCCGGCTGCATTGTGGAGAGCACGACTGCGCCGAGGGACTCCAGCGGGGAGACCCTGGGGGAAGGGCCGTCGGAGAGCTCCTCAAGGATCTCAGAACCTATAAGAGCCAGAGCAACCAAATTTGGTATCCACACTCCTGTGATATCGGACCTTGACCGTTTCGTGTCCAAATTTCGGCACACCCCTTCCGGCCCCGCAAAGGACGAAAATCCACAAATCTCAGAGACTATTATCGCCAGAGTACCAAATTTGGTATCCGCACTTCCGTTAGATCTCACTATAAAGCGTATATCTCAGAATTTCGCCCCCCCCCTTCCGACCCCACAAAGGACGAAAATATGTTTCATTCACAATATTGCACATTCGAGAAAACTAAAAACGCAGAATCATAGATAATGACCACATCTATCAGATTGCTGAATCTGGATCAGATCGGATCATTTTTGTAGCCATAAGCAAGAAATCAATGTGCGGTGGCTACGCAGCGCCCGACGTCACGCTCAGACTGATTTTCTGTCTCTCTCGCACGCACTCTTTGTCGTGTCGTTTAATATTAGCGGCCTCTGCCGGAGGAGAGCCATACTGACTAAGTATCGGGTATAAATGTAGAATTGCGGTGTCCGCAGCAACTCACAGCGTTCCCCCTCGTTTTAAATTTGGTTGTTGCGGGGAGGCGGAATCTCTTCACGAACTCTCGCCATTTTGCTGCTACTTGTCATGATAATTGGAAAAAACATTGAAACAAAGAAAGGATCTGCCACCACTAATGGTTATAATTGCACCCCGGCTATCATCTTTTCACGCAATGATCAGAATTATAGAACAAATTGTCTACATCCATGTTTAGCTAAACTTTTGTTTTCTCCGTTTTTTTCTTACTCACTCATATTAAAACCAAATTGAATCCATCAAAAGTCAATAAGTAAAACGATTACCTGGGAAAAGATTATAAATAAATGAGCTTGTGCTCCTTATCGGTGATGTTCGACTGAATTAAGCATTTTGGCTGATATACTTGACTCGAGAGCTGACACACTGATAATGTTATCGCCAGATTTCCCTCAAAACATTCCTTTAAAATCACAGTCTCATTCCTATAAAATCACCCAAAGGTGCAATGCCTTCAATCGAAAAAGTATTAGCATGGTGAACGTTTTAAGCAAGTCTACTTGTCTGCGGACTGGTACTAGTCAGAGCCGCACAACTGAAAGACGGAGATGTCATGCAAGATTACCAGCGTTTAAAAAGGCTCCGCCCGCTGGGAGTCGAGTTTGCCGAGCACTTCTGTAATGCATCGCTCCCGGACTTAGATCTATTCCACCCCCGAATACCCAGTCAGGAGGATCTGTTGTGTTTCGCGGACATGGCGCACTCACTGCATCTGGGTAACTTCGATGAGTGTGTCAAGATCAGCGAGGAGATCACCAGTAGTGACAGCATACATGGAAAGTACTATTTTCTAAATGTACCCGCCGTATCCATTTCGATCAAGATCGCATCTTGCTTTCCGGCTTCCTGCTCTGCGGCACATATGGATACGTTTCTGGGGCAGTTAATGCAGAATTTGTTGAACTCAAGCAGCACAAATATAAAATTCAGCGAGGCCAGCTGTCAGACAAGTGAATCGAAACCTTGGGATGGAATGACCATTTTCACAGTGTAAGTTAAGACCGTATCATAATCTAATTCTGTGACACATACTATGGATTGCAATGTACTTCTTGGCTTGATGGGTACTAAAATGGGTACAAAATGCGCTGGATTTTCTGGCCTCGTGAGTGATGCTATAGCCAAACGTAATGGCTTGCATTACAGTTGCGAGGCATGCCGTGCGGTGGAGAAAGACATGGTATCTTTCATGAGGCAGACGCGGAGTGGCTTTAAGGAGCTGACCGTTGGTTTCAAAAACCAATACGATCGGCTCCTAGCCATGGAGGCTCAGTTTAGCGGTTTAAAACTGCTGAATGAGTCTCCGAGGCGCAAAAAGGTCACTCCGCGGGATCTGCAAGTGCCAACCGTCACTCAGCCGTGCGCCGCCGAAAAACTGACTCCGACCAATCCAAAGGCAACGACAGCTCCTGGCGATGCAGATTCGGTAGCCGAATTCATCACCTCTGAAAATGTGCAGCCAAGTACGTCTGCAGCGTCAGTGTCCGTGGTGTCCGCAAGTTCGCTAGTTATCCCGTCCATCCCGGTCCCACCAGTAAATAGACGTTCCGGACCTCCGGATATTGCCACCACAGGTACTAGACCTGTGGTGACTAAACCACTGGTGGGAGTCCCACCAAAACGACAAGTTTTTGTTTCACGGCTGGCCCCTGACCTCACATCTAATGATGTAATTGCTTTTATTCAAAACAAAATAAAAGCCGTGGGTTTAAAGGTGGAGAAATTTAACTTCTCTTATGCCAGGGAGATAGCCTCGTTTAAGATAAGCATCTCCCCAACTCAATTTGACACCATTTGCTCCGCCAAATTTTGGCCGGAGCATTTGGTGGTGAAGGAGTTTAAGGTTAAGAAGAAGAATAGGCCCCCCATATCCCTTCCAAATCTTTCCAATCTGCCACCCTCAACCTCAACTTCCTCTTCCTCAACTTCCCGTCTGGCTTCCACCTTTCCAAAAAACTAACTTCTCTTTTAGTAACATATCAGAATGTAAGAGGCTTGCGTAGTAAGCTCAGCATTCTTCTCCGGGATAGTGTTGCATTTTCTTCCCACGTTATTGTGTTTACTGAAACCAGGTTAAAGCCGGACATTCTTAGTTCCGAGGTTTTGGCAGGTCGGTACACAACTTTTAGAAAGGACCGTTCGTCTCGACGTGTAGGAGGGGTTCTAATTGCTGCTACATGCTCTCCTCCTCCGTTTATCATAGAATAAATTGCAGAACAAATATGCAGCGAAATAAAAATAATAATAATAAATGCAATCACGGGGATGAGGGATGAGCAAGTGGCCTCCCGTCCAAACGGAACGGACCGTAATATGCATAAACGATATATCTGATCGACTGGAAACTCTTGTGTTTGAATTTGACTTTGAATTTCGAATATTTCGGCATATATTTTCATTGCGGCCAAAAACGGAGAGACGATTCCGTGCATTGCGATTCTGGCATCAACGAAAATATATGCCCAAATGGAAGTGCAAACATCTCTGAGGGGAGGGGTGGAGTGTCGGGCGTGTGGACGTTTGTCTTCTGTCAGTGTGTGATTGAATACTGCTTGCTGCTTTCTGCTCGATGGCTGCCCCCTAGAGCACGAGGTGCAGGCGTATCTGGAACACCAGCTCCTTGACGGTCTTCTTCAGGAGCGCCGCCAGGGACAGGATGAATCCCAGGAGGCTGAGGAAGAACAGCCAGGGCGTGGTCATGAGCACGCCCCGGGCATTGGCCATGCGCCACAGCAACTGGCGCTGGATGGTGCGCAGCTTGAACTTGCTGTTCCACAATCGGAGGCGCGTCGAGCCGACGGTTTCGTTGATGCCCACGGTGTTCTCGACCAGCCAGAACACCGCACAGCACAGCATCTGTAGCACCAGCAGCACGACCTTGACCACAGCGGACTCCAAGACGAGGTGGTACAAGGCCACCATGCGCTGACGGTGCTCCGGCTGCATTGTGGAGAGCACGACTGCGCCGAGGGACTCCAGCGGGGAGACCCTGGGGGAAGGGCCGTCGGAGAGCTCCTCAAGGATCTCAGAACCTATAAGAGCCAGAGCAACCAAATTTGGTATCCACACTCCTGTGATATCGGACCTTGACCGTTTCGTGTCCAAATTTCGGCACACCCCTTCCGGCCCCGCAAAGGACGAAAATCCACAAATCTCAGAGACTATTATCGCCAGAGTACCAAATTTGGTATCCGCACTTCCGTTAGATCTCACTATAAAGCGTATATCTCAGAATTTCGCCCCCCCCCCCCCCCCCCCCCCTTCCGACCCCACAAAGGACGAAAATATGTTTCATTCACAATATTGCACATTCGAGAAAACTAAAAACGCAGAATCATAGATAATGACCACATCTATCAGATTGCTGAATCTGGATCAGATCGGATCATTTTTGTAGCCATAAGCAAGAAATCAATGTGCGGTGGCTACGCAGCGCCCGACGTCACGCTCAGACTGATTTTCTGTCTCTCTCGCACGCACTCTTTGTCGTGTCGTTTAATATTAGCGGCCTCTGCCGGAGGAGAGCCATACTGACTAAGTATCGGGTATAAATGTAGAATTGCGGTGTCCGCAGCAACTCACAGCGTTCCCCCTCGTTTTAAATTTGGTTGTTGCGGGGAGGCGGAATCTCTTCACGAACTCTCGCCATTTTGCTGCTACTTGTCATGATAATTGGAAAAAACATTGAAACGAAGAAAGGATCTGCCACCACTAATGGTTATAATTGCACCCCGGCTATCATCTTTTCACGCAATGATCAGAATTATAGAACAAATTGTCTACATCCATGTTTAGCTAAACTTTTGTTTTCTCCGTTTTTTTCTTACTCACTCATATTAAAACCAAATTGAATCCATCAAAAGTCAATAAGTAAAACGATTACCTGGGAAAAGATTATAAATAAATGAGCTTGTGCTCCTTATCGGTGATGTTCGACTGAATTAAGCATTTTGGCTGATATACTTGACTCGAGAGCTGACACATTGCTAATGTTATCGCCAGATTTCCCTCAAAACATTCCTTTAAAATCACAGTCTCATTCCTATAAAATCACCCAAAGGTGCAATGCCTTCAATCGAAAAAGTATTAGCATGGTGAACGTTTTAAGCAAGTCTACTTGTCTGCGGACTGGTACTAGTCAGAGCCGCACAACTGAAAGACGGAGATGTCATGCAAGATTACCAGCGTTTAAAAAGGCTCCGCCCGCTGGGAGTCGAGTTTGCCGAGCACTTCTGTAATGCATCGCTCCCGGACTTAGATCTATTCCACCCCCGAATACCCAGTCAGGAGGATCTGTTGTGTTTCGCGGACATGGCGCACTCACTGCATCTGGGTAACTTCGATGAGTGTGTCAAGATCAGCGAGGAGATCACCAGTAGTGACAGCATACATGGAAAGTACTATTTTCTAAATGTACCCGCCGTATCCATTTCGATCAAGATCGCATCTTGCTTTCCGGCTTCCTGCTCTGCGGCACATATGGATACGTTTCTGGGGCAGTTAATGCAGAATTTGTTGAACTCAAGCAGCACAAATATAAAATTCAGCGAGGCCAGCTGTCAGACAAGTGAATCGAAACCTTGGGATGGAATGACCATTTTCACAGTGTAAGTTAAGACCGTATCATAATCTAATTCTGTGACACATACTATGGATTGCAATGTACTTCTTGGCTTGATGGGTACTAAAATGGGTACAAAATGCGCTGGATTTTCTGGCCTCGTGAGTGATGCTATAGCCAAACGTAATGGCTTGCATTACAGTTGCGAGGCATGCCGTGCGGTGGAGAAAGACATGGTATCTTTCATGAGGCAGACGCGGAGTGGCTTTAAGGAGCTGACCGTTGGTTTCAAAAACCAATACGATCGGCTCCTAGCCATGGAGGCTCAGTTTAGCGGTTTAAAACTGCTGAATGAGTCTCCGAGGCGCAAAAAGGTCACTCCGCGGGATCTGCAAGTGCCAACCGTCACTCAGCCGTGCGCCGCCGAAAAACTGACTCCGACCAATCCAAAGGCAACGACAGCTCCTGGCGATGCAGATTCGGTAGCCGAATTCATCACCTCTGAAAATGTGCAGCCAAGTACGTCTGCAGCGTCAGTGTCCGTGGTGTCCGCAAGTTCGCTAGTTATCCCGTCCATCCCGGTCCCACCAGTAAATAGACGTTCCGGACCTCCGGATATTGCCACCACAGGTACTAGACCTGTGGTGACTAAACCACTGGTGGGAGTCCCACCAAAACGACAAGTTTTTGTTTCACGGCTGGCCCCTGACCTCACATCTAATGATGTAATTGCTTTTATTCAAAACAAAATAAAAGCCGTGGGTTTAAAGGTGGAGAAATTTAACTTCTCTTATGCCAGGGAGATAGCCTCGTTTAAGATAAGCATCTCCCCAACTCAATTTGACACCATTTGCTCCGCCAAATTTTGGCCGGAGCATTTGGTGGTGAAGGAGTTTAAGGTTAAGAAGAAGAATAGGCCCCCCATATCCCTTCCAAATCTTTCCAATCTGCCACCCTCAACCTCAACTTCCTCTTCCTCAACTTCCCGTCTGGCTTCCACCTTTCCAAAAAACTAACTTCTCTTTTAGTAACATATCAGAATGTAAGAGGCTTGCGTAGTAAGCTCAGCATTCTTCTCCGGGATAGTGTTGCATTTTCTTCCCACGTTATTGTGTTTACTGAAACCAGGTTAAAGCCGGACATTCTTAGTTCCGAGGTTTTGGCAGGTCGGTACACAACTTTTAGAAAGGACCGTTCGTCTCGACGTGTAGGAGGGGTTCTAATTGCAGTGGACTCTTACTTCACGTCAGAA